GCTTTCAGAATAGTTGGTAGTGGTAGCTGGGTACCATCTACTTCTGGTCTGAGTCAAGGAGACTGATGTGCACATATTCCATTAGTCCGTTGGGCTAATTGTTTCCAAGCATCTTCAGTTCTCATCACTCTTCTGCACATGGAGAGATCAATAGCTGCACCTTAGGTCGTTGCTCATGAGCTTTTATATCCCAGATGCTACTCATCAAAGTAGGATGTAGAACATTGTCTTTATGGACTTTGTTATGCCAATTTGCCATGGTGTCCCCTGGGCTGTGTTCCTGAGTCCCTAGGCTCAGCTAGCTACTCATTGCCTTAAGATGTTTGACACTGTCTAAGAAGTTTTCAATATTTTCCCCACTGTATGTTCCACTATGTCCATAGTTGTGTAGGGTTCAATACTCTAAGTGGCATATATATTATAATTTTTTTTCAAACTGAAATGGAAATTATAATATAAATTAATTGTCCCATCAACTACCACTTATATTTTAAATACAATCATTGCACAGAAGACCTGATTATAGTTAATGACTCACTCACTGCCATTGAGTTATTTCCAACTCATGACACCCCTGTGTAGGGTTTCTGAGTTTGCAAATCTTTGAGGAAGCAGAACTTCTCATCTTACTCCCATGGAAAGCTAAGGGTTGAACTGACAATCTTATGGTTAGCAGTCCACCAAAATTCCTTGGTTACAGTTGTTTACTGTTGTTAAGTGCCATCAAGTCAGTTCCTACTTCTAGCAATCTTGTATAGGGTTTCCAAGGAACATCTGGTGAGCTTTAACAGCTGACCTTGTGGTTCAAACTGATCTTGTAGTCCAGTGTATTAATCCACAACACCACAACTAAGGGGGCCATATATCCTTGCTTGTCTGACAATCCCAGCTTTAATATTGACATCATTATTGAAGAGTAGCCCTTTACTCTCAAAAATGTCAAAGTTTAGATGATAACCTACCTGACTACCCTAGTTATACTGCCAGTTGTAACCAGTTGTGATACTCTATGTAGATTTGCTGGCTTAAATTTCCCACTTTTAAAAATGAAGAACTTGATATAGGTGATATGTAAGATTTGTTCAGCTCTATGCTTCTTACTTATAAAGAATGCAGGTCTGAAAAGTGGTGCTTTTTAGTTTTCTACTTCTTCAGAAAACTTAGTTCTTCTTCAGTAAATTCACAAGAAAACTTCCTTAAAACAGTTCCTTAAAACAAAAATGCAAAAGCTACTCTTTGATCAGACTTCTGGTATGCTGATGTTTGCAAAGCTCTATGTGACTCATTCTCCTCTTGTAAAGGCTTGTTAAGACTGACAAATCATCTTAACAATTAATTATATGTATAATTTAAATAAACTTTGTCTCTTCTGAATATACAAACTAGGGAAGGAGGTAGACCTTTGGAGAAAAGCAGGAAGCAATGATAACAAAAATGGTAAAGGGATATCTGGAAATCCATTAGGAATAATGTTGTGCATTTGATACCATATGGAGGAGGGCTGGATGCTGCCTCAGTGAGTCCATGTAGTGTATAAGAGGAGTCACTTTGTTAAGAATTCTCTGTTAAATGAGGATTTCCAACTTGAGATTCCAGAGTATTTGAGACCTTCATAAGTAACGAAATATAAGAAATCTATTCATCATTTTCAACATTTGGAAACTCCAAGTGAATATTGTTCATTTATAGTATTTTTCAGCTTTATTGGCTTATCCAAAGCATCAATGTTCTATGCTTTCTGTAGGAATCACATGAATTTATTTTGTTAATAATGAATACAAGCTGACAGACAAAAATAAGCCTAGTTAAGATAGTTCTATAGGAGAGGATCTTTCTCCCACGGAACGACACATAACAACAACAACAACATAGTAGAGGATCTGCAAAAATTATTATTTGTGTGTGTGTGTGAGAAATGTTTAACTATAGTAGAGACCACTGCAATCCAGGTGTCTATGTATAACACAACACAAGTAGTTTCTTTAATTTGGGACATTTTGAGAAGGATAAAAGGCTTTGTTGAGAATAATTGAAACCACCCTGCAATGAGAACAATCGACTTTACTTTTTACGTAAAACTTATTCTAAGATTAATAAAATGGATTTCATTCTTAGACAGTGATTCTGTCTTTATTACCTTGTGGTACATAGCTACCCTTCCTTCATAAGGTAGCCAAGTAAATTGTTCTGGTTTGGATGCTATTCCTTCAAGAGGAAGAATCTCCTCCTCTGCCCTATTGTCTTGCTCAGTGCCATCCCTGCTATAACACTTGCTTCATATCTCAAGATTTTTACTAATTATAGAGAGTTCTTGGATTTTGTTAATGCTTTCTTAAGCTGCAGTCACTATAAACAAATTAGTTTCCTATTGTTCTCCACATGATATGCTCTGAAATTTGCTGGATGTCTGTTTTGAATAGTGAATCTGACAAGGTAGAATGGCACTCTGGGTAAGTTGTGAAGAGTAATGGTAGCTAAATGTGGCAGATGGATTAGAGTGGACCTTGACAAACAAGCAAATTTGAGGTTAGAACTGGTAGAACATAGTGCTCCATCAGAGGTTTTTGGTTAGGAGAGTGATAAAATAAATTGGCTCTAAATTAAATTAGGTGATCTAATTTTCTTGTACTCTAAACTTAAAATCATATTTAAAACTCCTAAAAGGAATTTTCTTTAACCCCTTGACTCCAAGAAGATGAATGTTTTCCAGAATGGTGTTCTGCAGAACTCTGTTACAGGAAATATTAATAGGAATGCCAAGGGGGATTTAAGTTCTGTCATGAAATATCTTTGGGAAATTGCCTTATTAAACTGTACTATTTTTTATTAAGAATGCATATTAGCATACTGAGGGAGTCCTGGTGTGGTGCTGTGGGTTAATGTGCTGGATGGAAAGTCTGTTTGAACTCCTGAGTGACGGGTCAAGCTCACCAGCTGGTTCTCAGAAACCCTATGCAGATTTGCTATTGGTCAGACTGACTTAAGGATACTTATCAACAACAGCAACAATTAGCATATTGAAGAATCTGAGAAGTTCCACAGTAATCAAATTAATTTTTTTGCTACATAGTCTCTCAGATCTATTAGAGAAAAAAACTGGGTACTTGAGTGTGTCATGGCACATCTGTTATCATTGTGTAAAACTGATCCATTAGACTATATGATCAGGAAGAGCAAGATAATTCAGTATAAATGCTTTTTCATATTTAAAAAAAGATAAAATGTTAAGTTTTTATTTTATGTCAGAGGCTGTAGTTTGGACATACTGTCTTCTCACTTCTTATAACAGAGATCTACATCATTGTAACCCATATTAGTTATCAATAAACATTCTTTACTCTAGCCCACTAAGATATGCTTTAATTCATGGCCATTGTTTTCATAAACTTATGGAAAACTTACCAATGCCACCTTTGTAAAAAGCAATTACAATAATACCGAGAAACTATTCTTCTTAATAGCTTTCTTTCACTTTTCCTTTATTTTTTAGTCATTGAATCTTGAGTCATTGGGTCACCTTTATTTGAACTCTCACTCGTTTCCATGCGCTGTTTTATAATTACTCCAGAGAAGCTTTGAAGTTCATTAGAAAAAAAGAAGAAACAAAAGAAGAGAAAAAAAAAAAGACTTCTTGGTAGAAAAGAGACTGCTGAGTCATAGTCCCTGAAGTAGAAAATGCTGAAGTCCAAAAGTCATGTGAGGACACAAGGGAAAATTGGGACTGAGATTGAAGAATGGAAGTGGATTGCTTTTTTGTCTTTAGAGACTGTGGTTATTTGAGAGAAGAGACCCAACACACCTTCCTAACTCTGCTTTGGCTTGTTCAGAAAGTGTTCCCCAAAGCTCCAGAGGTTGAAACATTATCTTGCTACCCAATGAGCATTGAAGCAGATCACATTCTTGACCCACACACAAAGACTCCCAAGGAATATTATGGGAAGTCAGTCAAAATGATAAAGAGAAACAATTGTTCTTTCTTAATAAGAAGCCAGTGTACTCCGTCTTGAATTTAATACTTGAAATAGTGATATTTTAACCTGAATGAAAGAAAACATTGATGTCAAACTGCAGTCACATGTTTATAATTCTCTCTATAAAGTCTTTAAAGGCATTGTGCAGATGTTAATCTTTAGAAAATATGACTGTACATAATTAATTGGCAGTTTACACATTACCTGAATTTGCTCTGAGAGGGAAAGTGGTGTCTATGGAAGCTAAAGATTTATGTTGTTGTTGTTAAGTGCCATCGAGTCAGTTCCGATCCATAGCAACCCTGTATAGGGTTTCCTAGGAGCAACTGGTGAGCTTGAACCACTGACCTTGCAGTTCAAATGGTTTTGCAGTCTGGCGCATTAAGCCACAGCACCACAATTGTTATGTTCATAGCTATGGCAACAAATAAATAGAATGATGGGGAAACAGCAATATGTGGTGGAATTACATCAGATGCAGCATGAGTTTCATAGTGTTGTCTTGGAATTAAAAAACTCAGAAGTTTTCCAAAATTAAATAGGAAGCTAAATAATAAGAGACCTACATTGTTGATTTTGTTGATTGTTAAGTGTCATCAAGTCAGTTTTGAGCAACCCTGTATGGGATTTCCAAACTTGTAAATCTTTAAGGGAGTAGAAACCTCATCTTTCTTTCCATGGAACCACAGGCAGTTTCCAACTGTTGGCGGTGAGATTAGCAGCCAGACTCCTAACCACTACAATCTCAGAGCTCCTCTCCTTTTCTCCACAAGTATGCTCTTTCTCTCAATTTTAAAACTTTAAGGAGCATTAAGCTAGAAAACCTGTTGAATCTATTTGAAATCAGCTAAGAAAATATAGAAGCAACATTTTCCTGATAACTTCTTTGAGAGACAGTTGTGGAGGAAGCTTTATGTCTGCCAGAAATTTGAATCCACTACTTACCAAGTACATTGTTCTTCTGAGAAGTCTGCAGGAAATTTGCTAGTATAATTAATTTGATTTCCAGTTGTACACATTAGTGCTTACTTTTGTCTTTAAAACTTCATTTCTTGTGCTAGGAATATTCTTAGGTTCTAGTGGCCGAAAACCGGCTTCCATCTGTTCTTTTACACGAGAGACATTAGGCAATGTGGAGTCTTTAGATGTTTTTATTTTATTTTTAAATATTCCCTTAAAAATCCTAATGTTGATAGGAAGAAAGTACTATACATATGAATATATTGAAAAATAAAAGAGAGATAATTTGTGTCTAAATATTTATAACGCAAACCAAACCCAGTGCTATTGAGTCCATTTTAACTCATAGCAACCCTATTGGACAGAATAGAACTGGTGTGGCGCAGTGAGTTAATACACTGGACTACAAAGTCAATCTGAACCGCAAGGTCAACGGTTCAATCTCACCAGCTCCTTGGAAACCCCATACAAGGTCGTTATGGGTTGGAACCCACTTGATGGCACTTAACAACAACATAGGGTTTCCAAGTCTGTACATCTTTACAGAAGCAGACTCTCATCTTTCTCCTTGAAAGCAACTGTTAGATTCAAGATTAGCAGTCAACCACTTTAATCACTATACCATCAGGGTCATAATATTAATATATCATATGTTGGAATGTATGTATGAAGACAATGCATTATATTAAAAGAATAAAATAGACTGTGTGTGGGTGTATGTGCACAAAATCCCCTAATCCTTTTTTGTCATTTTGGAAATACATGAAGAGGTTTGTTTGGCTTTCTGGTGGCAATTCACCTAGGTAATAGCACATTCCTAAATCTGTTGTCTGGAGCCCTTGCTGTCAGCTATGAACCTGCTTTGTTATTAACACTGCAGTCGTGGATCAGATGGTCACAGATTTCTTTAATGCTTCCTCTGTTTATTTTACTTTGAAGCAGCTCTCACTGAGAGCAGGAATATCATCTCCCCTGACAGCTCTGCTCCTATCTGACAGGGTTCAGCCTTTCTCCCTTCATTCCTGCCTGTCTGCCAAGGACCTCTCATGCACCTTTTGACAGTGCTATGGCAAGCTGCATTCCAAAGACAGCACACCTGCATGCCAGTTCCACCTGTGAGAGTGCTGAGCTAGCACGAAACTTTCAAATACCTGAGTACCAGCGAACCTGTCATGCTGAGGATTATAAGGAGGCAGTCCTTGTAACACATCAAGTTCAGTGCTTGCTGCATGTTCATGCCCTTCTCCATAAAAATCAACCTACATTTTTCAAAATTAAGACCAGTAGAACCCTAAAACTCACTGCCATCTAATTGGTTCTAATTCATTGTGACCCTGTCTAAGGTTTCCAAGATGGTAATTATTTCTGAGAGTATTCAATCTCATCTTTCTCCCATGAAGTAGTGGGTGGGTTTGAGCTTCTGACTTTTTGGTTATCAGCCCAATGCCTACGCCACAGCCCCGCCCACCTCGCCTCCTTAAAACCAGTAGAGCAGTTGTAGCCGTCGAAGCGCTAGATGATAAGCACTGAACTGCTAACCCCAAGGTCGTGGGTTCAAACCCACCAGTCACTTCTTGGAAATCCTGTACAGGATCGCTATGAATCAGGACCACCTCAGTGGCACTTAACTACGTCAACAACAACAAAAGGTGTTAAAACCCACTGCCATTGAGTTGATATCAATTCATAGTGATCCTATGTAGGGTTTCCGATGCTATAAATCTTTACAGGAGCAGAACGTCTCTTCTTTCCTCCCTGGAATTGCTGGAGAATTCAAACTGCTGACCTGTTGTTAGCTGTCCAACATGATAATCCACTAAGTCACCAGTCATCATTTTTATATAATTTAATTTTTTTAAAAAAACTTTTTATTGTGAATTGAATGGAAGTTTACAGAGCAGATCATCACTTTTACGTTTAAAAAATCATACACTAAACTTCACTGCAATGATTCAATCCCCTCCATATATCACATCAGTTAACAGTTGTTGTTGTTGTTAGGTGTCATCGAGTCAGTACTGACTCATAGCGACCCTATGCACAACAGAACGAAACACTGCCCGATCCTGGGCCAACCTCACTATTGTTGCCACGTTTGAGCCCATTGATTTTGCCACTTTACCAATCCATCTTTCAAGGGGTCTTCCTCTTTTTCTCTGACCCATCTATTCACTTTGACTCTTGTACTTCTCACTGTGTCTTCTGATACTCTCATCTTTCCTCTGCCAAATTCCTTTGTGTTGAATATTGCCATCCCCATCACCCAAGTTAACATGTTTTTACCCTCTATTCAGTGAATAATGTTTAAACATTTTTTCTTTTTTTTATTTATAATTATTTTCCCCTACACTCTGGTAGCGTAGTGGTTACGAATCGGGCTGCGAACCTCAGGGTCAGCAGTTCGAAACTCCCAGCTGTTCTGAGGGAAAAAGATGAGGCTTTCTGCTCCCGTAAAGATTTACAGCCTCGGAAACCCTGTACAGGGTCGCTCTGAGTCGGAACCAACTCCATGGCACATAACAATAACAACAACAACAACAACAATACTCAAATTAACACATGTCTACCCTCCAGCCAATGACCCATCCTCCTCTCCCCTCCCATCCTAGGTAACCATAAAAGAATACCTCTTCTAGTGTGAAAAACTTTCTTTGACTTTTTATAGTAGTTGTTGTCACGTGCCGTCTAGTCGATTCCGACCCATAGCGACCCTGTATAACGTTTCCAAGGAGCAGCTGGTGAGCTTGAACTGCCGACCTTGCAGTTCAAACAGCTTTGCAGTCTGGCGCATTAACCCACAGTGCCACACCAGGGCTTTAGAGTAGTAGTCTTATACAATATGTGTCTGTTTCTGACTTATTTTACTCAGCATCATGTCCTCTACATTGATACAGGTTAAAAAGTATTTCACAGATTCATCATTATTCTTTAATGTTGCATAATATTCCGTTGAGTGTATGTGCCAAAAGTTTGTTGATCCACTCTTCTGTTGATGGACATTAAGGTTGTAGCCATCATTTTGCTATTGTGAACAGTGTTGTGATGTGCATGGATTTAAATGCACCTATTTCTATCACTGCTTTTATTTCTCTAGTATATACATCAAGAAGAGAGATTTATGAATCAAAAGGTATTTCTTTTTCAAACTTATTAGTCATAATTCTGAGAAGTCTGATTTCATTTCTACAAGAACAGAAATCTGAAGCTCATAAAGGTTAAGTAATTTGTACAAACATACTCAGTTAGTCAGTGTTATGGCAGAAGTGAATTTGGATCTGTGAAATGCTAAAGCTCATGACTTCTTCTCCATCCTATGTCGTCTTTCAGAAAGATGATGTTTCCTTTTTCTGAATTACCCTTCATTAGCCTTTCGTGAAAGGCAAATAGACTCATTCTAAAATATTTGCTTGGCCTAGTCTTTCAAGTAAGGACACTAATGTTAGCTTCTATTCTTTATGCTTTTCAGAAACCAAAAGTAAGCCAGTTGGCTGTTAAATCAATTCATATTCATTGCAACCCCGTGTGTTGAAGATAACTTTGCTCCATAGGATTTTCAAGGCTGTCTGTCACCATTCAGAAGCAGATTACCAGAACTTTTTGTATGGTGCCTCTAATTACACCACCCAGGGACACCTATACTCTTCATAGGATTTATTTATTGGTCCCATGCAAAATTGTGGAGGTCTGGTGTGGTATTGTAGGATAAATCACTGGACTACAAGATTTGAACAGCAAGGTTGGTGGTTCAAACTCGCAAGCAGCTCCTCAGAAACCCTATACAGGGTCACTGTGAATTGGAACTGACTTGATCGCACTTAGCAACAACAATGTAAATTTTGTTGGCATATTTGTTTTAAGGTACCTAAACCTACTGCTATCTAGTGACTTCTGACTCATAATTACCCTGATGTTGTTATTATTAAGTGTCATCAAGTCATAGGAACCCTGTATAGAGTTTCCAATGTGCGGAGATGAGTTTGAACTACCAACCTTGCAGTTTAAACCAATGTTGTGGTCCAGTACTTATCCTACAGCACTAGACCAGGACTCTAAAGAACAGACTAAAACTGTCCCATAGGATTTCCAAGACTATAAAACTTTATGGGGGTAGATTGCCACATCTTTCTCCTGCAGAGCAGCTGATAGGTCTGAACCACAAGACTTTTGGTTAGTATAAGGTAGTTTTACCACTGAGTCACTAGGGCTTCATTTTAACTTGCAATTCAGTTGTTTTAGTGTCCTGCACATGTGAATGGATAGAATGGATAAGAACACAGTATAGTTGTCCTACCCCATCCCTACTCCAATATGTATTAGTGGTATATCTAGAGTAGTAAATGTATTTTCAGGGCAATTTTATGTACACGTTAGGCACTCATTTGGAGTTATACTGTAACTATATAAGATGTAGGTTGAAATATGCTTCATAAAGAAAGTTTCTTAAAATTACCAGAAAAGATGTTTGCATGGTTGTATTTGTTTCCTATTGCTGCTGTAGCAAATTCTTAGGCCCTTAGTAGCTGGAAGCAACTTAAACTTATTATAGTAAAGTTTTGGAAGTCAGAACACTAAAGCTGATTAATAACGTGGGGTTCCTTCAGGAGGCTCTAGGGTAAAATCCATTACTTTGCTTTTTCCATCTTCTCAAAACCACTTACAATAGGACATCCTAGCCTTTTCCTCCCTTTTCAAAGGCAGGAGTGAACCTCTTTTCACTAACCTTTGCTTCTGTCCTTACATCTTCTCGCTCTGATTTTGGCCCTCTCTGTTATAAAAACACTAATAATTAAATTGAATTTGCCTCTATAATCCTAAACAATCCCCTTATCTGAAAATCCTTAATTATAATGGTGACATCTCTTTTACAATTCAAGTAATATATTTCAAGGATCAGGGCATTGTCACCTTTGAGGTGTCATTATTCTGCCTACCATAATGGTTTAGAAAGAAAATAAGTGGCAGCAAATAGCTCTTAATTGCAATTATAAATACCCACCATCTTAACCTCAGTGTGTCAGGATACTATATTTTTAAGCTAAAGTATCTATAGTAGATCAATAAGAAAATTATAAATGGTTGGTTGGTAGCTTTTCCAATCCCTACAATACAGAGAATTTTAAAAAGTGTTTCTAAAGCTACTGCACAGACATGCTTCTCTCTACAATGGACATGCTGTGGAAAGATTTACAGAATTCAGGGGAGCTTATGTGTTAAAGTAGTCCTATGAATCATTTCAGGATAATTGTCTTATAGTCTATTTTGGATTATTTATGTTTTTATATCTTAATGTACATGTACCAGCCCAGCTAGCTTTTGTCTCAATAATGCTATAAAAGAGACAACTTTAAAACTCAGCGGCTTAAAACAATTACAATTTCTTGCTATTCAATGCTTCAGCTAGATAATTCCTCTGGTCTAGTCAGGGATCACTCAGGCGTCTATGTTTAGCTTTATATTGGGAAGGAGCTTTGCCTGTCCTTGCTGTGCTGTTCCCCTTGTCTGGAAATCAGCTGTTTGTAAAGTAGCCTGAAATGGACTTGTGTGAGGTAACTGGCTCTCTTCCATCTGTTTCTCACATGCTCATGCCTCTCATATCCCTTGGGAAGGTTCTCATGACTGTAGAGAAGCAAGAGAAGAAGCAGAAACATGTAAGGATTTTTTTTCAAGCTTCTGCTTGCTTTAAGTATGCTAAAGTTCTCTTGGCCAAAGTGAGTCACATGACCAAGTCTAGCTTGAAGGCATAGGGGAGTAGACTTCTTCAGTGATGAATTTCAAAGTCACAGGATATAGATCTTGGATTCAATGAAACTTGAAAGGTTCTGCCATCAGTATAGTCACTGTTCTAGAGCCCACATTTCTAGTATCTTAAAGAATTTTTAAAAGACAGAAGTCTCTGTATGGATTATTGCATATTTGTCATTTTTGAAAACTGTAATAATTTTAATAATTGAATGATGCAGTTCTTTCATGATGTGTCTGACTGTTAAAAAATGTGAAAAGACAATCTAGATGAAGCTATAAACTCTGACATCATTGATCATATTGTACATTCTTCTTTGCTGTGAGTTTGTCATTTGCAAAATGGAAACCAGCAATATAAAGCAGTGTGGAAATAAATTCTTAAACATCTGAGTGTGTTTATGCAGGAAAATGCAAGTAACTATAAAGAACTAGAATAAACTTTGTAGGATTGCGTCACAACAAAGAAGTGAGGTACAATTTTCCTCTTTGAAAAATTATGCAAAATCCTGCCAACACTATGCACAACACTGCACAACAAAAGAAACACTGCTTAGTCCTGAGCCAACTTCAGAATAGTTGCCACGTTTGAGCCCATTGCTGCTGCCATTGTACCAATCTGTCTCATTTGATTTCTTCATCTGTTTTTCTGACCCTTCACTTCATCAAACATGATGTCCTTCCCCAGAGAATAGTCCCTCCTGGTAATATGTATAAAGTATGAGAGGCAAAGTCTGGCCATCCTGGCTTCTAATGAACATTCTGGCTGTACTTCTTCCAACACAGATTGGTTTATTCTTTTGGCAGTCCATGATACTTTCAACATTCTCCTCCAACACCAAAATTAAAATGAATCAATTATTCTACTATCTTCCTTATTCACTGTACAACTTTTGTATGCATATGAGGTTATTGAAAACATTATGGCTTGGGTCAAGCATACCTTAGTTCTCAAATTGACATCTTTGCTCTTCAACACTTTAAAGAGGTCTTCTGCAGCACATTTGCCTAATGCAATAGATTGTTTAATTTCTTGACTGCTACTTCCATAAGTGTTGATGGTTGATACGAGCAAAATTAAATCTTTAACAACTTCAGTTTTCTCTCCATTTATCTTGATGGTATTTACTGGGTCCAGATGTGAGGATTTTTGTTTTCTTTACACTGAGGTCCAACCCGTATCAAAGGCTGTGGGCTTTGATTTTCATCAGTAAGTATTTTAAGTCCTCTTCACTTTCAAAAAACAAGATTATATTATCTGCGTATCACAGATTGTTAATGAATCTTCCTCCAATCATGATGCCACTTTCTTCAAATAATTCAGCCTCTTAGATTATTTGATCAGCATACAGATTGAATAAGTATGTTGAAAGAATATAACCCTGCTGCATACCTTTCCTAATTTTAAACCATCAGTGTCCTCTTGTTCTGTTCAAACAACTGTCTCTGTCTACATACAGGTTCCTCATGAGCACTTGTACATAATCAAGTGTTCTGGAATACTCATTATCTGCAATTTTGTCCATAGCTTCTCATGATTCACACAATCAAAAGTTTTTACATAGACTGATTGGCTACTACAAAAACAAGCAAGTTGTTCACCAGGGAGCCATCAAGGCAAGTAATCAAGTCCCTTCAGGACACACTCCCCTCAAGACTGAAACTCAAAGGAAACACATGAGCAGGCATGTAAGCTTGCTGGCAACCACATTGGTCTACAGGTAAATAGAAGAGGGGGAAAGGCAGAAATGAAGATATGGGCTAAGTTTGACCACATTCCATATACTCCCATTGACCTGGAGATGTGAAAGAGAAGAGGAAGGGCTGATGGGTCTGAAGTGTAGTAAGAGCTGAGGACTCCTAAGCCCATGGACAAAGACATAGCTACAGAGGGTTAGAGCCGAGACTGAGGTGTCCATCTGATATGAAGTGAGAAGAGATGCACAAGAATGTCCAAACTTGCAGATAGTACCAATATGATCTAGCTTTGATGGCTTGATGATCAGAACTTGACTAGAGGAAGATAAAGAAATTTGATAAAGAAAACAAGTATAAATTGCTACAATTTGATGAACTTGGCCTATACTTATGGATGTAGTAGCTCAAAATACCAACTGAGAGGTAAGGAGTCTTCATATCAAGGATCTAACCTACCCTCTCTGTACACAGGGTTGATAAGGATACGCAATTTAGACATTTGGCTAGTCCTGGTGTGGCGCTGTGGGTTAATGCACCAGACTGCAAAACCAACCATTTGAACTGCAAGGTCAGTGGTTCAAGCTCACCAGCTGCTCCTCAGAAACCCTATACAGGGTCACTATGGGTCAGATCTAACTCAACGGCACTTAACAACAACTTAAAATGGGGATCTATAAAAGTAAGAAGTGACTGGCTTACAAGTTTTCAAGAGGGAATTTAGTTTAAGAGTGTGCGAGGGAAGGTAGAATCCCCACTGAATAGTTTTCATCTAGTCTACACAGGTCTGAGAAAAGGAGATGGGGATAAGATTCTTATGATTCAATAGTAAGTAATTGTTATCATGACTAATTGTGATTGTCACAATTGTAAATGTAGAAGTTTTGTAACATAAAGGAGGGAGTAATTAATCTTACATTCCAGGAACAGAGGACCCTAGGGCCATCAAAGGAAAAGAGCATTAGTAGAATGTGGGACCGTACTCAGAGAAGCAATAACATCAGAAATGGAGGCAAAGGCATCGAGAGATAGACCAGCTGTGGACTCAAGACTCATGGAAAGAGAAAAGCTGTATATTGGCGGCCAGGAGGCAGGCATGCAGAATGTGCCCTTGGGTTGTTTATATGATTATATATTCCTGAATGTTCTTTGTGTACATCATAAAACACACACACACACATCCCCAAAAAACCAGAGAGAATAAGAAATAGAAGCAAATACTGTTGAATGATGATGCATGGAGAGGATTATAATTGTTGCCATGACATGAAATACAGAAGGATGAGTGCAAAACTGATGTATTCCCATGTAAACTATCACTCAACTCACAATAAAAGCTTTAAAAAAAAAAAGCCTTTACATAGTCAATAAAAGCACAGGTAAGCATCTTTCTGGTATTCTCTGTAGCCAAGATCCATTTGATATCAGCAAAAATATCTCTCATTTTATGTCCCCTTCTGAATCTGCCTTGAACCTCTGGAAGTTCTCTTTCAATGTAGGGTTGCAGCAATTTAAAAATTATCTTTAGCAAAATTTTACCTGCGTGGGATATTAATATTGTCCAATGATTTCTGCATACCTTTGGGTCACCTCTTTTTGGAATAGGCACAAATATGGATTGCTTCCAGAAAGTTGGTCAGGTAGTTGTCTTCCATATTTCTTAGCATTGATGAGTAAGTGCCTCCAGTGCTACATTGTTGTTGTTGTTGTTGTTGTTTGCCGTGGAGTCGGTTCTGACTCATAGCGACCCTGTACAGGGTTTCTGAGGCTGTAAATCTTTACGGGAGCAGAAAGCCTCATCTTTCTCCCACGGAACAGCGGAACAACAATTTCGAACTGCTGACCTTGCGGTTTACAGCCCAATTCGTGACAATTCATGGTACACTATGCCAGGAATAACAAATTGAAGAGGAATGGCACCACATTCATCATCAAAAAGAACATATCAAGATCTGTCTTGAAGTGCATTGTTGTCTGTAATAGGATAATATCCATATGCATACAATGAAGACTGGAGCCCTGGTGGGGTACTGTGGGTTAATGCGCCAGACTGCAAAGCCATTTGAACTGCAAGGTTGGAGATTCAAGCTCACCAGCTACTCCTCAGAAACCCTGTAAAGGGGTCACTATGGGTCGGAATTGACTCAACAGCACTCAACAACAACAACAGCAATGAAGACCAGTTATTACCACTATAATTCAAATTTTCCCACCAACCACTGGAGCCAGTGGTGATGAAATTGAGGAACTCTATCCAATTCTTCAGTCTGAAATTGATCAAGCATGCAATCAAGATGTATTGATAATTATCGTTGATTGAAATTGAAAGGT